AGATCACTAATTGTGTCAGGGCCGCGTGTCCGGCCTCTCCCTGGCTGGACGGCAGGAAGAGATCAATGAAAGTATTGAAGGAATGAATGAATGCTTCCCAAGACTCTTGATGGTGGACTGTGAGGAAGTCTATGGACTGAGGAACAGCACTTGCTTCTCAGCTGAGAACTTGCCCAGGGTCACCCCAGCTTGCCGAGGACAGCAGCAGTCTCAGGGTCACAGGGGAAGCCAGTACAGCCTCCCCTGTGCTTCCTCTGGGTTGAGTGAGCCTTCACATCACTCCCTCACCAGCCCTCTGAGGGGGAAACCGGCTGGGCAGCGTGGAAGGACCTGCCTATGGTCATTCAGTGGAAGTGGTTTGAACCTGGGGCCGTCCCTCTTTAGAGCCTGTGTCTTAACCACTGCGGGGCTGAAGCTAAATGAGACCCCGTGGCATTCCCAGAACTGCTGGCAGCTGCAGCTAGCCCGAAATGCTGACACAGCCTCTAGGTATTATTAATAGCCCCCGCTGGGCTGGACTTCTTAGCCCCTGCGGAGGCCAGCCCGGGTCATGGGCCCCGCCCAGGGAGGGTAAGGTGGGTGCCCTGTGGAGAGCTGAGCCAACAGATCCCTGTGGCCTGAGAGATCTGAGTCCAAAGGCCCTGGTTTCCCCAGCCCAGGGACTGCTGAGGAGCTGGACTCCCCCTACTTTTGGTTTCCTGCCTTTATCCCTCCAAGCCTCGGCTTCCTCGTCTGTGACATGGGGGTATCACTGGTTAAGTCGGGTCAGTGATAAAGCACAGCCCTCTGAGTGCAGGGTGAGACAGCACACACCAGAGGGCAGGATGGAACGCAGCCTGGGACCTCCCTGCCACCAGAGCGCCCCAATCTGAGTGGAACCCTCTGGAAGAGGAAGAGGAGGAGTGAGACCAGCCTCGACTAGCCCAGCTGGACCCAGCCGGGGTGTTTGCAAGGAACCTCACATGGAGGGCTCCTGGGCTCTGGCTTCATTCACCCATCAGGGATGAGGGCAGGTCCTTCTGAAGGGGGCTCTCAGAGGGGAGAGGAGACTGTGCTTCTGTGTCAAATGGAATCAGTTTCTAACCCACAGAGCCCAAGGCTCACTCTGTGGTAGGGACTGAACTCTGCAAAGACCTGAGAGGTAGGCACTATTATGTCCATGTTACAGGTGGAAAAACCAAGGCTCAGGGACGTGATGTGACTTGTTGGAGGTCTCAGAACTGACAGGTGGCAGAGCCCCTGTGGCCAGTGTTCACTCTACCCCACACACTTCCTGTCCTTGGGAGACTGTGGGGTGGGCCTTGGTTTGTGGCAGGCTCCATATCTGGTAGAGAAATCTCAGCCTTCTGCCTCCATCTGGGCTGGGCAGGCAGGTCATCAGTGGCCTCCCCGAGTGATGAGACCAGGATGTCTGCTTCTGATTCTTCCAGGCAGCCCCCATACACAGGTCCAGGTGGCCCTAAGAGGGCTCTTCCCAGAGGTCACCTAGGTAGCCACGGGGAGGCCCAGCTCATATCCCAAATCTTTAGCCAGGACCTCTCGGGATGGCAGTTTCTCGGCCTCACCCCACATGCCAGCCACGATGGCCTCTGTCCTTCCAGTGCAGAGAGCTTGCCCCTGCCCAGGGCTTCTCGCCTTCTCTTCCTTCCTGGGCCAAGCCCTCTCTGACCCCCAGATCAGACCCAGAGCCCTGGTTCTGTGGCCCTGCAGCACCTTTGCACACTTGTGACCGTTTCTGTGTCATTCATGAAAACCCACTGGTGTGAGCTTCCCGGAGGCAGGGACAGAGCTCTGAGCACGGGGCCCGGCTCTCAGTAACTGCGCATTGCCTGCAGCTGCTGTGGCTCTCCTGTCCTTGGCAAAACTCAGAGTACCAGGTACCACTGGCAACCTCCATTGGCAGACCTGTTATCCACCATCCATTACCCCTCCATCTCACGAAATCAGACCTCAGACTGCATTCGGTTGGGTTGCCATCAACCACACCAAATTCACAGATTTAAAAAGAGAGCGAGGGAAGGAAAACTCAGCTGCCGCCTTAATGAAATACTGTCACGGGGGAGGAGCTGGCCTGGCCCCAGGGACCCAGCATGATGCTCTTAGTGATGTCACCAATTCCATCATCTGATGCCCAGAGAGGCCTGTGGCCGGGGCTCCACCTGCAGCCCATGGGACTAGGTCCACGCTGCCCAGGCCAAGGGGGCAGGCAGGCCTGGCTCCCAGGGGTCTGGATGGCTCAGAGGAACCTGGTAAATTCAGGGGTTAAACCAGGACCCGACTCTGCCTGGGCCAGAGGCTGAGGCCACAGCTGAGTCCAGGACAGCAGAACTACATTTCCCAGAGTGCCCCAGAGCCCAGGGACAAGCCATTGGCAGATTTAAATAGCCCAGGCCCAGGCAGCCAGGCGGCAGCTGTGGACTCGTCCACCTCCCTGCAGCTCCATTGGCGCTGGCCCGGCATGGGTGGGCTCATTGGCTGTCCAGCTGGCACTGACATCCCCTCGGAGCCTGGTGGCAGCCGGAGGTAAACAGCCACATGCAATCCTCCACTCTATATTTAACAGCCGCTGCGGGGAAGCAGGCAGCGGCAGCCGGGCTGGCCCTTGCCTTTGGGGAGAAGGCCCTCGGAGTGCGAGCCGGGCTGGCACCGGCCTGCTCAGGGTGAGCTAGGTCACCATGCCAGCTTCCCAGAGCCGGGCCCGAGCCCGGGACCGCAGCAATGTCCTCAACAGGGCCGAGTTCCTGTCCCTGAACCAGCCCCCCAAGGGCACCCCAGAGCCCCGGAGCTCGGGCAGGAAGGCCTCGGGGCCCTCGGCGCAGCCCCCACCCTCAGGCGACGGGGCCCGCGAGCGGCGCCAGTCTCAGCAGCTGCCCGAGGAGGACTGCATGCAGCTGAACCCCTCCTTCAAGGGCATCGCCTTCAACTCCCTGCTGGCCATCGACATCTGCATGTCCAAGCGGCTGGGGGTATGTGCTGGCCGGGCTGCGTCGTGGGGCAGTGCCCGCTCCATGGTCAAGCTCATTGGCATCACCGGCCACGGCATCCCCTGGATTGGGGGTACCATCCTCTGCCTGGTGAAGAGCAGCACGCTGGCCGGCCAGGAGGTGCTCATGAACCTGCTCCTGGGTGAGTGTGCCCGCCGGCCCCGCCCCGCCCCGCAGGACCAGCAGGGCCTCAGAAGCCAGCTGGACTGAGCTAATGAGTTTAAAGTAGGAAGGGTGCCCCAGAAACGGGCAGGCCTCTGGCTTGGGGAAGTCAGAGCCCGACGCACCGAGGAGGCCCCTCGCAAAGTGAGGGCTGAGAGAAGGCAGAGGTCAGCGGGAAGCTCCAGGGGCCTGTTCTGGACAAAGGGCACCGCTGCCCAGGGGGCAGCTGGGGCTGGGCAGTGACCTCAGGGGCCTGAGGGCTGTCCTGGGCAGCAGGCGTCCTTGTTCGACTCCCTCCACAGCTGGGGTCCTTGTCCTTGACCACACACGGGCAGCACTTGTGATGCCCCCCAGAGCCCCACCCCGGCTGGGTTCAGGGGCCTGTAAGATGCCAGGCTTCTCCCCACAGGGCCTGGGGTCCCTCCCACTCAGAGCCTCCTGGAGTCCTGACCTGCTCCTTCCCAGGAGAGTGGCTGAAGTGGGGGGGCAGGGGCCGCTGGTTATTGGTTTGTGTCTCCGAAGTCTTGGCTGCCACCAGCCCCTCTCGGTTAGTACCATCTGTCCTTGCCTATTGCCTTGTGGGACCCATGTGGAAGACAAGCGCCCCTCTGCCCCCGTGCGACACCTCCAGATGCCCGGGGCACTCAGGGAACCTCGGCCTCCACCTCCAGGCCAGGCCTGTGAGGGTTTTCTCACCCCTTGCCATATGGCCAGCATTCAGGGGACAGGCGGGGTGGGGGTTCTCGGGCAAAACAACATGGTAACAGGGGTCTTGGTTCCAAAAGGGGTGTGAGTTGGGCCACAGAGAACTTCCATTCCAGAGGGAGTTATGGGGACTGAATCTGGGGCCTGACGCTCAGGGGTGCCATGCGGGGAGGGAGGCAGAAACAACCAGAAACCTGAGGAGGAGCTGGCTGTGTCCACCACTGCCTAAGCCTCTCGTTTTTATCACTAAATCATTATTATTATTATTTTATTCCAAATAAAAAGTCTCGAGATGCCAAGCACAGTAGCCCACACCTGTAATCCCAGGGGCTCAGGAGGCTGAGTCAGAAGGATTGTGTGTTCAAAGCCACCTCAGCAACTTAGCAAGGTCCGAAGCAACTCATGAGACCCTGTCACTAAATAAAATATAAAAAAGGGCTGGGCATGTGGCTCAGTGGTTAAGCGCCCCTGGGTTCTATCTCTAGTACCCTCCTCAAAAAAGTCCCGTGAGTTTTGTGCCCCCTGTCATTCCCATTTTACAGATTAGGAGACTGAGGCTCCTATAAATAAAGCAGTCTGACCAAGTCTCAGCTTGGGATCTGCACCTGGCCTGCCTGACCTACAGGCCTCTGCTCTCTGCAGGTGGTTTAGGACCTTGGGAGGGAGGGACAGAGTCTGGTAGGCAGAATCTGCTCCCACTCTAGGTTTCTCTGGTGCCCACAAGAGCTATGGAGGGCTGTGGCTTGAGAACACTGTGCTGGAGTTAGGTTGCCTGGTGCCCGAGGTGGGACAGGGACGTGCTCTCCGGGGCCTGTGCTCCAGACCCCATAGGCTCCTGCCTGCCTTCCCCAGGTGGTGACACAGGGGATGGTGCTGAGCTTTGCTGAGTGTTTACTGTATGCCAAGCTGTGCGTGAACCACACGGCACTTTGCACCTGCACCATGACCTCTGAGCATTTAAACAGGAAGAAACTGGGGCCGGGGCTGGGGCTCAGGGGCAGAGCGCTTGCCTAGCACGCGTGAGGCACTGGGTTCAATCCTCAGCACCACATATAAGCAAAATAAAGATATTGTGTCCACCTAGAAGTAAAAAATAAATATTAAAAAATAAGAAGAACCTGAGCCCAGGGTAATGGTGCTGCAGCTAGCCAGGGGCGCAGGCATTATTCTACCTTTACTTTGCCCCATCCTGAGGAGGGTGAGGGAACTTCAGGCAGGTGAGGATCAGGGAAGAAATCAGGGTCTCAGCTGTCCCCAGACAGTAGGTGCTCCGCTAAGGGTTGGCTCCTCACCACAGGGTGTGCTATCAGCTGCCCGCTTCACCACCTAAAGTAGCTCCTCTTGAGTCTGTGCCTCACACACGAGCATCGGCTGTTACGAAAGCTCCACCTGAGGCTGGGTTTGCTCAGGGACAGAGTGCTTGCCTAGTGTGCAGGAGGCCCCGGGATCAAGCCCTGGTACTGGAAGAAAAAAATAGAAATTAGGCCTGCCCCAAGTGTTTAAAAATTTGCGACTCACTTGTTGGATTAGGTTTCTGGCTCCTGGCAGCTCTTAGCTGCTATGGGCCCAGGAGTGTGTGCCCCACGGGGCAGAGAACAAGATTGGAGACGCCCCCCTTCTTTTTTTTTTTTTTTTTGGTACTGGAAATTGAACTCAGGGGCTGTTGACCACTGAGCCCATCCCCAGCCCTATTTTGTATTTTATTTAGAGACAAGGTCTCTCTGAGTTGCTTAGTGCCTTGCCATTGCTGAGGCTGGCTTGGAACTCGCAACCCTCCTGCCTCTGCCTCCTGAGCAGCTGGGATTACAGGTATGTGCCACCATGCCCAGCCATGCCTCCCTTCTTGAGTGACAATCACTTTTTAAATCTTTAAGGACATCATTTATTGAGCTTCATTGTGTACTACTTGCTGTAAACAGCTAGGATTTTAGATTGCAAAAAGCCTCCTCGATGATCTTCGAGGGCAATGTCAATATGTCCATTTTACAGATGAGTAGACTGGGCTCAGGAGGACCAAGTGACCTGCCCACCCTCACAGCTGTGAGGGATAGGTCCAGGAACCAGATCCAAGGCCTCCGGGCTGCAAGCCACACCTTCCCCTCACCGTGGCCTGAGGCGCAGATGTGTCACCCTTAGGCTCACTCCACTGCTGCCTGAGCTGGTCTGGGAGGAGGTTTTCTGTCTGTGTGTCCAGGTGCCAAGACCATCACAGATGAGGACCTGCCACAGAGCAGCCTCACTGGCCAGGTGGAGCAGGCAGGGTGGGTCTGAGGCCCCAGGAAGCAGCTTGGTGGGAAAACACTGCCTCCAATGCCAACAGTAGGCTCTCGCCCTGCAGCTCTGCCCTGACCCCCAGGAGGACTGTGGACCCCCTTCTCTACCTTGGGAAAGCTGGCTGTCCCCTGAGCAGGAACTGCAGGCACCCATTGCCATTTAGTCTTTGGAGGGGCTGGGGTGACTTCCAATCCTGGCGCTCGGGCGCTGGGGTCAGACGGGGTTTGTCCAAGTCCCTGCTCTGACCCGTACTCTGTGCAAACTTGGTTCCCACTCTGGCTGTGTCTCGGGATCTGTGCAATGAGGGCGCAGGGTGGTGCTGGGGGTTCCAAGGAAGCTGGTTAAGTACAAGGCCAAAGTCATGGTTGCCTGGAGCATGAGGGAGCCCTTGGCCAGCCCTGCCCACCCCCTCTGCCCCAGAGCATGGCCGACTTCTTGGGCAGTCTCTTCCTGGGGCCCAGGAAGGGTGCCAGCTAGGCCAGAGAATCCCTGTCCTTGGCTCTGCACACCTCGCAGCAGTGGTCCCTTGCCCTCCCCCTCCCCCTGTCTCCCTCCCTCCGCAGTGCCCTCTGCCATGGCTCCAACTTGCCAGGCCAGAAGCAATCTTAGCAGCTGGAAAAAGTAGACTCAGGGGCTGGGGCTGGGGCTCAGTGGTGGAGGGCTGGCCTGGCATGTGCAAGGCCCTGGGTTCGATCCTCAGCACCACATGAAAATAAAGATTAAAAAAAAAGAAAAAGTGACCTCAACCAGACCTGGGTACAAATCCCAGCCTTGCTGTGGGCTCAGGCAAGGACTTCACCTCTTGAAGCCTCAGTTTCCTCATCTGTTAAGTGGGTTGTTGGGAGTCTTCACTGAAGAATCACACAGTGTTTGGCATGTACTAATGCCGGGTGACGCTTGTGTAACTACGATTGTTGTTATCAGCAGCAGCAGCAGTGTTGACACCGTCATTATCAGAAGGCCCAGGCCACCTCCTGCCAGGTCCTCTCCAGGCTTGAAGTGCCAGTAAAATGACCTCATGCTCCTTCTTATCCCTCCCCTGTAGCCCCAGCTTGATGAACCCAAGGGAGTTAGGTGACAGGTAACCAACCCATCCCGGTTCACCAACCTTGTCCTCCTTCCTTATGGGCCTCTTCTGGGGTGGGCAATGCCCTTGTGTCTTGTTGCCTTGATCTGAATCCTTTATTAAAGTGTGTGGGTTTGTTTTTTTTTTTTTGGTCCTGGGGATTGAACACCCAACAGTGCTTAACCACTGAGCCGCATCCCCAGCCCTTTTTATTTTTTTGTTGAAACAGAGTCTCCCTAAGTTGCTGAGGCTGGCCTTGAACTCGCAATCCTCCTGCCTCCTGAGCTGCTGGGTTTACAGGTGTGTGCCTCCTGTCAAAATTTTCCTGAATATGAAAACAGTCCATTTGTATAGGTCACTCTTTGTTAGGGTGATACATGTGTGTTGGGGTGGGGTGCAGCTCCATGGTGGAGTACATGCTTTGGCACGCATGAGGACCTGGCTTTGATCTATATGAACATACAAGTTATTTCAATAATTTTTGTGTGCGGCTCAGTGGCATTAAGCTCAGTGCCATGCAACTGTCACCACCGTCCACCTCCAGAACATGTTCATCAATAAAACTAACCCCCATTTGCTCCCTCTCCCCTACACCCAGCGGCCGCCACGAGGTGGCTTTCTGTCCCTATGCATTTGGCTCTAGGGACCTATTGGAGGTGGACCCCATAGTATTTGTCCTCCCAGTAACTGGCTATGTCACGTAATGTCCCCAGGGTTCATCTACGTGATAGCACAGGTCAGAGTTGCCTTCCCTTTTGTGGCTGAAGAGTAGTCTGTGTGATGCTGGATCTCGGCTTGTGCGTGGGTCTGTCGCCCTGTGGCGATTGTGCCCGAGGCTGCCCTGAGTCCTGCTGTCCCTTCATCTCTTCCTGCTGTGAACTCACAGTGGAACTGCTGAATCCAATGGTGATTCTACGCAGCTGTTTGGAGACCCGGGGCCATTTTCCTTGGTGGCAGTCCTGTCTTGTGTTCCAGGGGCTCCAGGTTCCCCACACCCTCGCCAACACTTGATCTAATTTTTCTCACAGAACCCTCCTCTCACTGAGGCTGGGTTGGGGTTCCCTAGTGGAGCCGAGCACCCTCTCGTGATTCACTCTTGCCGCGAGAGGTAATTCAAGCAGCACTGGGGTCAGCCTCATGACGCCCCACCAGGCCTTCCCGAGCACGGTGCTTCTTCTGGAGTAGTAGTGCTCTGCGGTGGGGACGCGCCACGGTGATCTGGGGCGTCTTCAAGGAGGTGGAGCAGAGGGAGCTCCATCCAGACCAGACCCAGGAGGATTACATCAGGCGTTTTGCAACACGAAGGCTTGCTCCGTGGCAAAGATTGATAACGACGGCATCAGTCCCAGGTCGGGCAGACAGTCGCAGGGTGGACAGCCTTGCAGACGTGCTTTCTGTCTAAGGCTGTGGTGGCCTCTCTGCAAGCTGTGGCCCCACTCAGCAGGACCTCTCCTTGCTGTTGGTCACTCTGCTCCTCCCAACCTCTGGCTTCCCTGGGTCCTGCTGCGAGGACTGGCACCAGGGACCCCATTCCCACTCTTCCACAGGGATGGAGCTTGGACAAAGGGAGCTGCCCCTGCCCCCTGTCCCCAGGAAGGAGCTCTGCTGCAGCTGGCCGTTGTCTTTCCTGCTCTTCGGCCAGCTTGGCCTTTGCTCTCAGGGAGACACCTGCTAGGCTGCATGCTCCCATCTAGAATCCTCGTCCCAGCCACTGGTCTGTGCCGTCGCAGGGAACCGGCTCCCCGAGCCTCGTGTACCTTCCCCAGCCATCCTGAAGCACCCACCCCACCCAGGCCCCCTTGGCCGACCCTCCAGCTCTCCCTTCCCCTGCCCACCAGCTCTTGCTCTTGGGGACAACTTAGGTGATAACCCATCCACGAGGCTCCTGTGACGTGTCCCTTACTGAGAGATTCAGGCTGATCCCATTGTCAGATTCGCTCCAGCTCCAGGAGGTAAAATCTCCCCTCTCGTCCCCAGCTTTGCTTCTTGTCTCAGTGGGGCTCAGTGTGACCATGGGTCCCCCAGGTCTTTGGCCACCCCTGACCAGGTCCTACATACACAGCCATGGCAGCCACCCTGGATTTGGATGCCATAGAAAGGAACCAGCTCACTGTGCAGAGGTGCGGCCGGGTCTGCACAGTCCATTTCTGAGACTCAGGCCAGCAGCGCTTGGTACTCTGCTGTGGAGGAGGCCGTGCAGGGACACCACACTGACGATGCCCATGTCCTTGGCACAGTCGCCTTTAGAGCTAGCTTGGCATGCGGAGTCCTCAGGGGAGAGAGTAAACCCCCTGAGGGCACACACTTGCTCAAAGTCACTGAGGCCCGGGAGCAGAAGACAAGCCAGGACCTCCCAGTGCCCTGGCCTCCAGGGGCTCAGCTGACTCAGGAGGCAGGTGCCTGGGCAGGAGAGGCTACATGTGTGCACATGC